TCAAATGTCAGATAACATTTTCAGATATTTTAAAAAAAATTTAATCTCAGATTTTTGATAAGATTTTCATCCTCTCAAATTGTGCCACGTGTCATCTCTATCTTCTAAATCCGTCTATAAACTAGACCTGATTTTCAAACCTCTCACACCATCTCTTATCTATTCCTTCATTTCTCAGATTGTAGAAAACACATTCTACTCTCAATGTCAAACTTGTTGAGGGTGTTGGAAAGGCAACGGAAAGAAAGGGAAGAAACAAGGCGTAGACGTGCTGAAGAAGATCGGGAAGCCGATGAAGAAGAGGAACTACTGCTTGCAGCAGCGGTGTGTATGATGGATCAATCAAGGCAAAACCGTCGTCCTCGTGCCCCGAATGTGGACAGACGTAGGGAGTCTCGGGGTAAGAATCTCATGGAGGATTATTTTATCCCAAATCCGTTATATCCTGCTTCTAAGTTTCGAGAAAGATATAGAATGCAACCACATTTGTTCCAAAAAATCATGCATGATATTTGTAATTACGACACATACTTCATTCAAAAGCATGATGCTGTTGGAGCTTTAGGTCTTATCCCGGAGCAAAAACTGACAGCTGCTTTGCGGATGCTTGCTTATGGGGCATCTGCAGAGCAGGTGGATGAGATTGCAAGGATGGGAAAATCTACTGTCCTAGAGTGCTTGGTGAGATTTTGTGATGCAGTGGAAAATTTGTACACGAGGGAGTACCTTCGCAAACCAACGCCAAGAGACCTGCAACGGCTTCTACAAAAAGGCGAGGCCCGAGGTTTCCCAGGAATGATTGGAAGCATCGATTGTATGCACTGGCAGTGGAAGAACTGCCCTACTGCGTGGCAAGGGGAGTACGGGAATCGGAAGGGCCAAAAAAGTATAATTTTGGAGGCCGTAGCTTCATTCGATTGTTGGGTTTGGCATGCCTTCTTCGGGGTTGCCGGTTCTCAGAATGACCTCAATGTCCTTGGTCAATCCCCAGTGTTCGATGAGGTATTGCGAGGTCATTCCCCCCAGGTCACGTACCAAATCAACAATACCGTTTACTCTGGTGCGTACTACCTTTCCGACGGAATTTATCCTAGGTGGACGACATTCGTGAAAACAATTCCGAATCCCCAATCCGAGAAGGAAAGAAACTTTGCTTCCTTTCAAGAAGGTTACAGGAAAGACGTGGAGAGGTGTTTCGGTATCTTGCAAGCTCGTTGGGCAATTATTAGAGGTGCTGCTCGGATGCTAGATGAGGAGGTGCTGCGGAGTATTATGATGACTTGCATCATCCTTCACAACATGATTGTGGAGGATGAGTATGACTATGATGCTCAAGAGGTGTTTGAACCCGATCCAATGAACACATCGTTGACAAGAATATATGAAAGGCCGATTGGACCAAATGGACTACCACTGGAGCCCGAACCCATACTTCGGGATGGTCAATTCAACAACCCCATGATTGATCGGTATCAAGAAATGCAATCTTCATATGTTCACGAGATACGTCAACGTGACTTGATCGAGCACTTGTGGGAGATCAAAGGCAATCACAATGGATGAAGTCAAGATTAGTGCTTTGTTTGGAATTATGCTTTGTTTTTAATTATGCTTTGTTTTGTGTGTGGTTTTGTTTGGAATTATGCTTTGTTTTTAATTATGCTTTATTTTGTGTGTGGTTTTTTTTTGGAATTATGCTTTTTATTATTATGCTTTTATGTATGGTTTGTTTTGTGTGTTGTTTGCAATCAATGAAGGTTTTTTTAAATTAATATTTGTTTTGATGCTCAAATGTTTTTAATAAATAGTCATTTAATTTAAGGCTTTTTTGATTGAATAAAAAGGGAACAATTCAACAAATTAAAGGATAAGGGAACAATACAACAAATTAAAAGGATAAGGGAACAATACAACAAAGTAAAGGATAATACAACAATACAACAACTTAAAGGATAATACAACAATACAACAATACAACAACCTAATGGTTTTCATCATTTAACCAATCCGTATTGCTAGGTCCGTCGTCATTGAAAAGTTTTTTCCTCATCACATCTCTTCGTCGTAGCTTCCAATAAGCCTTTGTTTCGGGAGACATATGGCTCGTATCCATAGCCATGATTTTCATCTCTCTATCCTCTATGTATTTTTCTTGTGCCATTTGTTGTTGGAGAGCATATGCTTCCTCTCGTGCCTTGTCCATTTCATCTCTTTTCAAGTCTCTCTCGATTCTTAGTGTGGCGCTCTTAGCTATTTGCTCCAATAATTGTACACAATCATTGCTCGAAGTGGCCCCTCTCTTGGCCTTTGCCGCCTTTCTCCCAATAGGTCTTGGCGGACGTGGAACAAATGGTGACTCCGTTTCCATTGGGGAGTCCAATGGAGAATCGGTTGATGTTGAATCGTGGAGTGGCGTCTCATTCATCACAACCGGCGGACCGGTGGGAATAATTTTGAACCTCGAACAATCCTTCACAATTTCCCAACATTGGAAATGCACGAAACTTTTTTTGCCTTGCCCCATGGCACCGAACCACATTTGTGCTTGTACCATCTATTAAAAATAAATAATTGGAAGTGCAAGAAACAAAAATTATTATGCAAGAAAATATAAACTATTTTGAAATGCAAAAATAAAATTGATTATGCAAGAAAATATATACAAATTAAAGGTGCACCAAGAAAAAAAAATTATGCAAGAAAAACAAATGGAATATGCAATAAAAAAAAAGTGACATTGAATTGATTAAAATGGCAATTATAAATATTTTACCTCATCGGTCAAATTTTGACCGCTTTGAATGTTCGCCTTTGCTTTTGTCAAGGCATTCCTCCATTTCCCTAACTCTTTATTAAGAAATTTCCATCTACTAGACAACGCCATTTCGGTCCGAATCGAACCCGATCTTTGACAAAATTCTCCATGAATTTTGCTCCACATGTGATGAAACTTCATTTCATTACCCGTGATAGGGTCATGACTAATGTTCACCCAAGATTGACACAACGCAATATCTTCATTCGTTGACCACGAGCCTCCGACTTCAATAGAAGATGCCATTTGTTTTTTTTTATACAAATGGAAAGTAGTAGAAAGAGAGTAAAAAATATTGGAAGGAGAAGAGTTTGTATGGAGAATTGGTGTGGAAGTGAAAAATGTGAGTGGAGATGAACAAAAAAATTGGAAGGAGAAAAGTTTGTATGAAGAATTGGTGTGGAAAGTGAATAATGTGAGTAAAGAGTAAAAAATATGGGATGGAGAAGAAATTGTATGAAGATTTTAGTGTGGAAAGTAAATAAAATGGTTAGGTATTTATAGAGAAAAAATACAGAATTTTTGGGTATTTTTTTAAAAAAATTCAGATTTTTTTCGATTTTTTTCGATTTTTTTTGCAATTTTTTTAGCCAAAAAAACGAGGACCGTCGGATTTCTGGAAAAATTCCATCGGAGAGTCCCCGTCGCGCCACGTGGCGCCCGCCCGTTGGAGCTGTCAGTGGTGACGTCAGCGCTGGCGTCACCAACTCGGGCTTCAGCCCGGGCAAGATTTGCCCTTGGGCTTCCTCGGGCTCGTGGGACCCGCCATCAACCTGGGCTACGGGCCCTGCGCTGGAGTGAACTCGGGCTGCCTCGGGCAGCCTTTCCCCCCTAGCCCGTCAGCGCTGGAGATGCTCTAAGGTGCAATGAGGATTCAAACTTGATAAACCTGCAAGTGAAATTCATAAAAATTTAACTTCTCATTTTATTGTAAAAGTTATTATATATTAATGGGGCCTTGGTTCAATGAGTAACCAAAAAGTTAGCTTGTTCAATGAGTTGTTGTTTATTACTACACTGTATATGTTCTTGTTGACATAAGATTTATTTGCATTATGTCACAGAGGAGTGCAATGCTTGCAAGCATTATGACTTGTACAATGTACTATAGAAACACATTATGGCAAATCATTCTACTGACAAATTCACCTTTAAGCATAAGATACAATTGAAACAATAATTCTGTTATATTAATAATTGGTCCCCAAAAAAAATAAAAATTATTGAAGTTATATTATAATTTCAAATTGTTGATTAGGTCAACTCACCAGTACCTGCCCCCACCCACCCTCTTAACATTGAGAGTGAAAGTTGCATCTGAAAGTGGTTAAGCTGATTTTACAGAGATACTTTAAATTCTCTAATCTTGATTAGGCTGCTGTCTGTTTTTATAATAAAAACATAAAAATAGTGTAATGGAAGGCATAGTTGGGCCAATCAATCCTCCACATGTTGGAGCTACAATAATGGGGAATTTGCTGAAAAAAATTTCAACTGAGCACATGGATGGCTGCAGAATGGGTGACCAATTGGAGAAGACAGCTGGGGCATGCATCTACTTCCTAAAGCACCACATGCATCATTGAATTTTGTTATTTTTGCTTCTTGTCATTGAAGCCATAATTAACATAGAAGTTTTCACTCTTTCTTTTTTTCTTCCCCAAATCTGGAGACAAATGGAATTTTATCACTAGATTTTATCCATGAGGACCACAACATTTGGTTCATAATTGTAGATTTGCACTTGATTTTGATGGCTTCTAAATCTAAACACTGAGAATTAAGAAATAAGATGTAGGGAGGAAAGAAACCAACCTTGGGGTTTCGATCTTGAATGCCAAGTAGAGAGGAGAAGGGGGAGGGCCACAACCATTGTGGTAGACCCGCTCGAAAAATTTTCAATCTTTTTGGGTGCTGAGTGAATTGATCATTTTGTTGGGTGCATATATAGAAAGCCCGCTAAATTTTATTATCCATATAACCAAAACACTTTGTTCATAAATTCTGGCTTGCAATTGGGTCTTAAAAGAGTTGGGCCTTCTTAATGGCAAATTGGCAAAGAATGCAATTGCATACCAAGAAGCAGAAGTGCAAAACTAGCATTCAATATGTACAAACCTGAAACCGAATTGAAACCAAATGCCATGTTATAATTTTGAGCCGTGGAATGCTGCAAAAACTTCCATCAAGATTCCTTCTCCCCTTCAGTACCTTGAGCTGATTCAGCCATCAACTCTTTCGTATAAACGCGATGGCGTCGTTCTCTCCCATATATCACCCACAGTAGGAGTGAGAGCATAACTGAAGTAGAGACCATGACCAACCCAATGTAGATCCATCTACTGTATCGACTTAGACCGGGACAATGATCCCTATAAATGTCACTAAATGTTTCCCTAACAAATGTGCAGTCTTGTAGTTCAACGAGTATAGGGGCATAATTATTCAAGGCATTACTCAGGCTTACTCCAGTACTCATCTGGCTGTAGAAAGTAGGGGTCAGCCGCCCCGTTGTGGTGCAAATCCCGTTTGGCGAAACCTGGCAGACATAGTTCCCCATACCTGCAAAAATTTGAGTTAAGTATTGAGGTTTCTAAAGTCTTAGCAAAATTGGTCTGTAAATGTAATGCAAGTAGTACAAAATTAGTCTATGAATGTAACCTCTACTTGCATTACATTTGTAGACCAAACTTGATGCATCAAGTATTTATGTACTAATGTTGCAGAGTTTGGTTGGTTTTACCTCCGTTGCATTGTTTAAGTTCACTTCGCCAGCAGTGCAAGTTCGATCAGCCATGTTAGGAAAAAATGGGTTGCAGAGGATTGGCACCAATGGACCAGATTGATTGAAGTACATTGGCACGAAGTTGGCTGCGAAATTTATGTTCGAAACATTGGTGATGACCTCGTTGATCAAGTTGACTAGTTGAGCAGTTACTTCCTTGCTTCGCAACAAGGTTTCTTGGGTAGTTGCACTGTCAACGCAGGGCAGTACATCATCTAATGCTGTATGTGCAGTGGGGTTTTGAACCCATTCATTCATTGCAACACAAGTGTCAGCAGCCACACTAGTATTTCAAAGGGAAGAAAAAGTTAGCTTTCTAGTTGTAAGCCATGCAGATATATCGAAGCAGAAAAGCATCATAACTAAATCATAAGGCTTACTTATGAAGAAGAAGGAATGTGCCACACAAAATGAATGTTCCAGCCACAAGTATCCATCCAGTGATCACCAGGCTGCAACAATTAAATTATAACTGTTCAGTGAGGGAAAAAACAGAAGCATACATTTAATGCAAGTATACTCAACCAAAAAGAAACTAGGAAATGATAGAAGAGGAAGATGAGGTATTGGAACTAATTCTCACTCACATGTACACAAGCGACTGCATGCCGAAGATTGAAAATACTAGAACAAAATGTGACAATAGAGGAATGAATAAGTACCACAATCTAAGATGTTTAGAAAACCAGAATATAGTATCTTAATAAAGATATCAAAGCAACTCACAGAATCCCAAGAATGTCAAGAGAAGCATGATGGCAGCAATTATGATAAGCGCCAGTGTCCTGCATGTACATTGAGATAATCCAATTTATGATCAGATTAAATCTCAAAGAACCAGGAGAAAAATAAATGGAAAAAGAGGCCTTTGATTTTTATCTTACACGGAATCTAAGAAATCGCGCATGTCATCTGCGTTCTCCTGTGTTCGCTCAGCAAGGGTACTAGCAGAAGAATTAAGCTTTCCTCCAATCTCATCGATGTCAGTTTGAATGTTAGAAGGTAAAAATACTTGGTCCACTCCAAGCTGCTTGGCTGCAGCGAGATAATCTGATGCATTCTTTAGTTGTTCAACCGTAATATCTGCCTGATGTACAACATACTCCAATGTATTTGTTGTACTACTGTGAAACCTCTTTTGGCCAATGTATAACACAACACATCCAATCCTGTAACCAGTAACCAAAAAATAGCACATCAGTTTTTAAACAACTGCAGCTAAACACCAAGCAATAAATATTATACATATATATATATATATATATATAGAGAGAGAGAGAGAGAGAGAGAGAGAGAGAGAGAGAGAGAGAGAGAGAGAGAGAGAGAGAGGTACATTGCCGCAATGGTGAAGAGTACGAGGAATATAAGAGAAAGAGCATATGCCGTCCGAGAATAGCCATAAGTCTGCCTTTTACAGCAAAAGTAGCAGACACATATGATCAGCAAGCACAAGCCAAAACTCAGGAACCAGATTGCAGCAACGGCAAAGAGGGGAGCTGCAGTAAAACCTACAGACTGCATTCGAACAAAAATTGGACCAAAAAAAAAGAGTACATGAAAAGAAATTCAAGATTTTAGACTAAACACAAATGAAATGTTATTAAGGTAATAAAAAAACATAAGTGCCAGAGAAACACTCGAAGAATTAAAATTTTACTAGGATATCAGAAAATCAGTTTATGATATTAATATATTTGAGAGTAGGTGATTGGATGCTACGAAAATGGCATTCTTAGTCAACATGAAGTCATTAAGTGCTGAAAATAGCAATTTCGCATAAGTAAATTTCTATATCTTGTTTTAACTACAAAGCAACAAGAGAAGTAACTTTCTCCCTGATTTCAAAAGCACTTTTATGATATTAAAAGACATTTAGTACAACAAGACGGCAACATTAAAATTCAGCTTTTTTCATATATTTAGAAGAAGAAAAGCAAAAAGCAAAGTTCTTCAAAAAGAGTGATGAACTTACAGCCCAGTAATGATGGTCACTGATATTCCAGCCTCCTGTGTACCTCTTGAACCCATTAAGAGGATCTTTCCTTTGTGTTCTCTGTGCAGCTAACACAATCGATGAGCTCTCAACTGGTTCACCAAAGGGCCCCTCCACAAGGGACCTCCCACTCCCCCATTGAAATCCCACTTCATATTTCTCCCCAAAATCCCACCCTGCAAAAATAAAATAAAATAAAAATAAAAATCAGTACAAATAAGGAAAATGGAAAGGAAACAAATTTGCACCTTGATTATAAAGGGTAAGTACTGTTATAATTTTCCACTAAAAAGGAACACTCCATTCAAAGCAAAAATTACAAATGAAGGAGCTTGATAGCAGAGGACAGTGGCCATTGGCCAATGTCCAAGAATGAACAACAAAAATAGGCGCAGCATCAAAGAAACAAAGAACCCAACTGAGGAAATGCGTGGCAAAGTGAAAGTACCTGAAACGGGTGGTGTTTGGAAGGGTGAAAAGTGAGAATCCCCATGAGAGAAGAAAATGAAAGTTGGAGAAGAAAGGAAGAGGAGAATCACCAGAAGAAGAGAGGAGGGCAGAGAACAATAACTTAACATCATGAGAAGTACAAGAGAGAGAGATAGAATGGGGTGAGTGGAGTGGGAGGTAGGGAGGGAATAGTAACGGTCTTAGAATGGGAATGGAGGGAGAGAAACGTTGGATGCTTTCAGCCCCCAATTAATAATACCAGTGTGGCTTGTTGCTTTCGGTTTTGTGCCGCGAAATATTTTGACAAAAATACCCTCACCATTTATTATTTCATAAGGACATCAAAACATTCTTAGGATAAATAAGATTTAGTTATATTTCTCTTATATATATATTGATTATTAAGAAAAAAACCAACATAATTTATTATTTTAAAACATAATGAAAGTGGGATAACTACATTTTTCTTGAAGAATGCTAAATTTTACTCATGAAAAGTTTCTAGGGGTACAAAAAATCACGTGATTCACAAGTACATTCTTTAAATATATGAAATTCATATTTGTTGTTTTGGTGATTTATTTTTTAAAACAAGCAATGATTTTTTCTTTTACAATACAAACAATACTAAAAGCCTCAAATACAAGGGCTGATCAATATTTAATGCTCTTAATTATTTGAACTAAAATTTATTTGCGTATGTATATACGGGCTTAGCCAAATTAGTTAGAACAGATATATTCGCTCTACCTTGAGTTCAAATCTACCTTCACATAGTTTAGATTATATTAAAATAGTATGTTTTAAATTTTTATTTTTGTTTTTTTGGCTTATCAATTCCTAAGATTAAATTTGTGAAACAAACAAAAATTTCTTTTTTGCATAACCGTAAATAAACACTTAAAAATGTAGGAAAATAAAGTAAGAAAATGTTTCGTGACAAAAATCATGGAATTAGATTCACCGAATGAGAAGCGTAAATTCGTCAATGTACATCGAGTTTGAAAGCATGAAAAGTGGTCTGCTGCGGAGCAGCTGAGGTGAAGAAATTCAAAAAGGCAAAAGGAGTTGGGTCCCAAAAACCGTGTGAACCTCTAACGGCTCGCTCCCCAAGGAATTACCATTTTCTTGAGTTTCTTTCTCTTTTTCCTTGTCGTGGCCTGTAATCCACGGGCACGGGGGACCGCAATATCAGCCTGTTTTGTCGGCTTTCTCTTCTTCCCGCCTTCCAAGTCTGGGCCTTAAATGATCACCACACCAAAGCTCTGGGCTTAGTAAAGTTGAGTGAGCCCAATTGGATCAAGCATTAAGGTGTTTGGGTTTAACTTAATATTGACCCAAAATTTTAACTTGGTTATGTTGTCCCTCCTCTCTTTCTTCTCTAACCCAAAATAAACAGTTGCGAGCCCAAAAGGCCGAAATTTTCATTAAAAAGAAGAAGAAATCAAGTTTTTCTTATTTCTGATCCAAGGCCATTTTAGTCATTGCAGCGATTAGGGTTCCACATATATTCGCCTCAAGCCTCGCCCTTTTCCTTTCCGCATAGATTAGGGTTTTTGCTCATCAGTCTCCCTTCACGGCGTCGGCTTCAACCAGTCTCCACAAAGCAGCTTGAAAATGGCGGAACAGGTAGATCCCTCTACTTCTCTCTCTAAGCTTCCCTCTGTCAGAAATAGGCTCAAATTCAATTCACTTCGCTGTTACTAATTCATCGTTTTATGCGTGTGTGTGCTTCAGACCGAGAAGGCTTTCTTGAAGCAACCCAAGGTTTTCCTGAGGTAAGCCAGTGGTTTCAAAATATTTTCTTTTGAGTTATTTCAGAAATTGAGATCCGATATAGCGCGTGTTCTTGTTTATCTGCTTCAGCTGAAATCTAATGATTTTTTTTTATAGAAATAAAATAACTGTTAAGTCGTTGAGAGAATGAAATGGATGCGGTGGTGGCTAACATATTGATGTGATGTAAAATTTTGCAGCTCAAAGAAGACAGGGAAAGGAAAGAGGCCAGGGAAAGGAGGCAATCGCTTCTGGAAGAGTGTTGGGTTGGGGTTCAAGACACCCAGAGACGCTATTGAAGGTTTAATTTAATCTCTTATTTGTTTTACAGTTTACTTTTCTCATGGTTGCTATTCATTTTTGGGTTTTGGCTGTTTCAAATTGTTGTGCATATGGTCCAATTTCCTGTTTTTTATTAGTCTCTTTGAATAGTGAAGCATTGAGCTATGTTAGCTAGATGTTAGCAGTGGGCTACGATTGTTAGACTGAACTCTTATAATTGGTTTAAACTTATGTTTCTCTACAATGAGCATAAATTTCAGACATCAAGAGGGTGGATAATGCCTCTAAACTGGAATTGACATCATGTTTTGTTTTGGAATAATGTAGTAAATGTCAATGTCGCTCAATTTAATAGGTAACATCTGCTAAGTTTGGTTCATGTCTATGCTTAATTAGATATACCATGAAGTGCTCTGGACTATTACTTATTATTCAGGGATTGAATGTTGCTTGTTAGCATTTCGTGGGTACAGTTTGAGTGTTCTGTGATTTGAGTGGAGTGGGAGGCGGAGTCTTGTTTGAAGTTGTTCTGTAAAACTTATGGTCAAATGACTTGGGATATCAACTTTGGTGTTTATCTTATGGCTAAAAGGGTTGCTTGCCTGTAACTGTAGGAACTTATATTGATAAGAAATGCCCTTTCACCGGCAATGTCTCCATCAGGGGTCGCATTCTCTCCGGTACTTGCCACAGTGCCAAGATGTCGAGGACTATAATTGTTCGACGTAATTATCTTCATTATATTAAGAAATACCAAAGGTGAGGTCATATTACTATGAAAAGGTCAAGTTATGCTTTTTCTTAGAAACAGGAAAATTGATCTCACTTATTTGTAGATATGAGAAGAGGCATTCCAACATTCCTGCTCATGTGTCACCATGCTTCCGTGTGAAGGAGGGAGATTATGTCATCATTGGCCAATGCAGGTTAGATCCTAAACATGTTGGTTGTTAAATCTGTTGCAACTGTTGCTGATTGGTTTTCGTATGTTTTGTTCTTTGCTTATGTATTAGTCAAAGGGTGTTCTTTTCATTAATCTGTACTTATGGTTGTTAAATTTTGCAGGCCATTGTCAAAGACAGTGAGGTTTAACGTGTTGAAGGTGACTCCGGCTGGTTCTTCTGGAGCTGGAAAGAAGGCATTCACTGGAATATGAGCTTCTTGTTTTGGGCAGTATTGGTAGTGTTACGTTTGTGCAAGAAGTACATTTAGATTGAGCTACTGTTGACAGATGAACTGTTTTTTGCCATTTTATTTTTATCCTTAAATATTTAATCCATGTACGGTGAATTTTAAGGTTTTTCTTCTGTTGAACCATTATCTTGGAGTTTGATATCCATAATGTCATTTTCTATTCACAATGTTGCCATGCTGATGCTTACATTCCTACTATTTCAGAATGGCCAAGTGGTTTATGTTGTGGATATAGTTTTAGATCGTTTAGTAATCTTGAAGATATATGGTATATGGGTATTTGTTGTCTAATGTGGTCATGTCAATAAGAGAAAGTGACCTCAACATGTTTCCAATAGGCTTAGTGTAGGTAGAGCTGTGAATGGGTCGGAGATGGAGTGGATCAGCTTATATCTGATCCTTCACAAGCAAATCAGCATCCGATCTGTTGGATAATTGGATATCTGATCAATCACTGGGAAAAAGAAAGAAAAAACATTGATATATTATGGGTTGGGTGGGATTGTCCGTTCGATTAGGTGGTGTGGGAATGGATTCTGTAGTTGAGTGACGTGAGAGAGAACTTAGAGAAGAAAACAAAAAAGTTGAAATTTTGACCAAAAATAAAGGAGAAGACAGCTGAAATGAGTGAGGAGTGACATTTTTTAAAAAAATTCTTTTTGTGTTTGGGTCTGGCGTGGTAGGGATTAGTTTAGAGTGGGAGAGATGTGGAGAGGCTATAATAAGGAGTAAGTGAGGAGGCTATTTGAGGAGGTTAATCTCATCGTCAACAAACTAAAGAAATCATGGGACTTAAATATTTTAAATGTATTGATGGTGGGATCGGTCTCCTCAAATAGCCTCCTCACTTTAAACTTTTCATTGTAACCTCTCCTAGGAGAGATGTGGGGTTATTAATTGGGCTTAATGTATACAATATTGGGCTTAAAAGTAAATTAATTCTATCAATGAGAAGTGCGAAATGTATTAAGTAAGTAAAAATATAATATAATAAATGTTATCGGATTATTATCGGATTGGATTAGGGCAAATTTAAATTTGTTTCTTTAACTTAATGGGTTAACGGATTCAGAACATAACTGAATTATCAGATTAAGCTACTAGATATGTCTCCCATTAATTACATTGGATTCATATAATCTTGTTGATGTGGATGATGATTGGTTACCGACAAAAGCTTAGCTTGGGATCAGACCTCAAAACCAACCAATCTTATTGAATGAAATTGAATTAAAGCGGGAAAATCTCACTTGCAATGGTGTGATTTAGTTCAATAGGAAAAGAACAAAATGAAAAACCTGCCCAATTTTTAATTCATCTTTCAGTTTTATGTGCACCAAGTTAAAATATTTGAGTTCTAGAAAGTTGAAACACACTTGCCACTACAGCACAGTCCCAACTTGTTTGGACTGAGTAGCACCAACAACAAAAAAGAGACATACATGCAGGGGCACGTTACCACATTTAAAAGCATATGTGGCTAGAAAAAAAAAATCATTCTCTTTGAATCATCATATTCATGCATTTTTAAACTATTGAAAATATAAAATAATTTCAAGATTTTGTTTTTAACGTGCCCCTGTCATTGGATCTGATTTGATTGATCCCTGCACCACATTTAAAAGTATATGTGCTTGAAGTTTTGCTGTAAGTACACCGAGAATGGACACAAATTAGGTCCATAATCTCATGTTTCCCACGTCATTTCCATTGTGCCTCGTGTCCTTCAAGTCCTAGTCGTTTCTACAGGAGTGGTTTCGTGCACTTCAACCAACGGTAAGGAAAATATCACAGTTGGTACATATTTCTGTCTGCGTTTTCCGTTGTCAAAGTCTGTTAAGCTTTTTCTATTTGGTCCCCGCACCATACGGCAATTTAGATAATAAATTCGTCGTGATCAAGACCCCTTCATTAGTCTTCTGAGGAAGTTATACTAGAGCTTAAGTATCAAACTCAGCGAAATTGCCTGTCCTGTTTTAGGTCTGCAGACTTTTGTGTTCTAATTTACATGTCTAGATGAGTTGAGGGAACCTCTCCCAAAGAATGTACCACCTTTCCACAGCCGTATACATGAATTCTTACTAATATCAAATCCCAATTGTTGGCTCGACGTGAACAGGCCATGCCAGTTTGCTAATTGATTCATATTAGACAACTGGATCGCTTATGGCTTCCTGTACAACGACATCAAGTTTCGATTGCAATCGACGAACCGTTCGTCGTTGACGGTTTCGACCCAATAACAGAAAAGGGAAAAAAAACAAATACCGTGCAATTTCGGCTGTTAGACAGGACAACAATCAATCCATGTTTTTTAAATTTCGCTGACAATTTCCAGTACATTAAAAAACAGGATTAAAATTCCCCTTGAAAGCTGGAAGCCTGCAACAAGTCGTATGCAATTTCCTCACAATCAATCTATATTTTTCATTGACAATATCAAGGAGATTCACTTAACATGTACTCAAATGACAAACAGTTAGTCTACTACAAACAACTATATTTAAACAAAAAAAGATTTATTATGAACAATTCAAAGGAAACTTGAAATCACTAAAAAGATATTAGCTAATGACATAATGCGGTAGTTGATGTGTATCTAGAGTATAAATTATTATGAATTTTGTTGTTTTTTACCATGCCCCCTCATATGTCTAGAAGTCTATAGACTAGGACTTTACAATAAGAGTAATACTAAATTAATTTTAAATTGATGTAATTGTCCACTTTATCTGCCACGTAAGGTGGTATGAGAATGTGATATAAAAATATGGTAAGAGTAACCTTATAATTAATCATTCCTTCCTTGTGTATTGGCTCCTCCTTGTTTATGTATAAATAAGTATCCTAAAATCCTGACCTTAAATTAGCAAGAAGAGCCAAGTAAAAAAGAACAGCCATCACCATGTATAGAGTAGCAAGCCCTTCGGAGTATTTAGTGATCACTGGGATCGGGATCGACGACATAAAGCTTGCGAAGAAGGCATGGATCCTCCCGGGCCAGTCCTACATCATCTTCGACATGTCCCCAGTCAACTACACTTTCGAAGTCCAAGCCATGAGCTCCGAGAAGCTCCCCTTCATGCTCCCCGCCGTCTTCACCATTGGCCCCCGCATCGACGACACCCCCAGCCTCCACAAGTACGCGAAGCTCATTTCGCGTCACGACAAGCTCTCCAGCCACGTGAAAGAGCTCGTCCAAGGCATCATTGAGGGAGAGACGCGTGTCCTCGCTGCCTCAATGACCATGGAGGAGGTGTTTAAGGGGACAAAGGAGTTTAAGCAAGAGGTGTTTGAGAAGGTTCAGCTGGAATTGAATCAGTTCGGGCTTTTGATATATAACGCAAATGTCAAACAGTTGGTGGATGTTCCTGGACATGAGTATTTTAGTTACTTGGGGCAGAAGACACAGATGGAGGCGGCCAATCAGGCTAAAGTTGACGTGGCCGAGGCGAGGAAGAAAGGGGAGATAGGGTCCAAGGAGAGGGAGGGGTTGACGCTGCAGAACGCAGCGAAGATTGACGCTGAGACGAAGATCTATGCAACGAAGAGGGAAGGGGAGGGAAAGATGGCGGAGATAAAGGTGAAAGCAGAGGTGAAGGTGTATGAGAATGTGAGGGAGGCTGAGGTGGCCGAGGCGAATGCTGAGCTGGCGAAGAAGAAGGCCGGGTGGGCGAAGGAGGCACAGGTGGCGGAGGTGGAGGCCGCGAAGGCGGTGGCATTGAGGGATGCGGAGCTGCAGACGCAGGTGGAAAGGATGAATGCCTTGACCAGGACGGAGAAGCTTAAGGCTGAGTTTTTGAGTAAGGCCAGCGTTGAGTATGAGACAAAGGTATGTACCTTGTTTTGCTTTATTCTTGTTTTGGAAAAAAGAAAAGAATATTGAATACACTTATAATACAAATTAAGATGGTAAAATATTCTGATGATGTTTACTAATCATATATGATGTTCGTACATAATAGGGTAAGGGAATGAAATATTGAATGCTTATATCAACTTGTGAATGTGACCGGCTAGCTCTTAGTTGATATATACTTTTCTTTTTAATACCGGAAGAAGAGATTTCGAGTTCAAATATCATTTTTTTTATTGATAAAAGAAAATTATAATCAATGTGATTCATAATCACATGCATATAGGAGTGTGATCAAAGCTATTTTTGGTTAATGGATTATTGTTCATAAACAAAGGTACAAGAGGCAAATTGGGACTTATACAACAAGCAAAAGGCCGCCGAAGCAATTCTTTACCAAAGAGAGAAAGAGGCTGAGGCACAGAAGGCAATTGCAGAGGCAGAGTTCTATTCTCGTCAACAAGTTGCAGATGGAGAATTTTATGCAAAGAAAAAAGAGGCTGAGGGTCTCATAGCCCTTGGACAAGCCCAAGGTGCATATCTACGCAATCTTCTGGACGCAGTTGGAGGCAACTATGCAGCCATGAGGGACTTCATGATGATCAACAGCGGCATGTTTCAAGAAATTGCTAAAATTAATGCCGAAGCCGTGCGTGGACTTCAACCCAAGATTAGCATTTGGACTAATGGGGCTGTAGAGGGCGGCGATGGTGGCAGCAATGGGGCCATGAAGGAGGTTGCTGGAGTTTACAAGATGTTGCCACCATTGTTCAAGACAGTTCATGAACAAACTGGAATGCTGCCACCGGCTTGGATGGGCACTTTGCCAAATTCTGGTTCTAACAATTGAATTCGAGAGTGTCACTATCTGAACTAGCCATTTTGTGTATATCATGTCTTTTAGTACATGTGAGACTAAAATAAGTTTGGACGATATCATTATATTAAAGAGATGACACATAATGTGGTCAGTTGAGATGGTACCGCGTATAATATTGTATTCATATAATTAATTAATGTTTCTTTCATATGGGTTTACATTAGCCAAATTTGAATTGCCATTGTAGCGTTCACATTTGAGGATTTGGTTGGCATAAATCCAATGGAGTCATGCCAATATGAGAAAGTGACCTCAACATGTTTCCTTTGTCCTCCAAGTCCTAATAGTATCAATGGAAATTGAATTCTTGCCATGTTCGCACCTTAAAAACTGTGCGAGCGGGATGTATAGTAAATATTTTATATGAAACTGATGAAAGTCTACAAGTCTTGCTAATATGAAAATGATCTCTATTTGGATAGTGAAGTCGTCGTCATCAGGAGCTATATCTTTTATCCTGCAGCTCCGGAAAATGAATTGCTTTTGCTAGTGAGTTTCGTAGCTTCTTTTTTTTTCTTCTTGCATACAAGAAATATTGGGAAATGAAAAATCGAAGCTTTTGCTAGGGTTTTTTTTTTTCCTTCTTCTTCTTGTATACAAGAAAATAGAACACAATAATCTTGAGTGCAAGGATAAATCGTCTTAAGCCCTTTATATAATGTACAAAGCATGTTTTGATTACACGGGAGTGAGACTACTTTACCAATAAATACATGATGGTACAATCTGTCCTCTGAGCTTCATGTCTATATTTTCTTCACTTAAAAATTTACAAGTAGTTAGTTGACCCAAAAAAAAACAAGTAGTTTGAGTTGGAAGACGAAACCGTTGGCCAGCGTTCCTGGGCCGATATCACATATCCCAAAAGTTGGCCATATATATAAATGAAATCTTTCATCGGAAACTATATGCCAAATTTGCTAATTGGGATTGATCGAAAGAGCAAAATTTCTATGCTCGTCAACAAGTTGCAGATGGAGAATTTTATGCAAAGAAAAAAGAGGCTGAGGATCTAATCATGGCCCTTGGACAAGCCCAAGGTGCATATCTACGCAATCTTTTGGATTGGACGCAACTATGCTGCCATGAGGGACTTCATGAGATGATCCACAGTGTCATGTTTCAAGAAATTGCTAAAATTGATGCCGAGGCCGTGCGTGATCTTCAGCCCAAGATCAGTATTTGGACTAATGGAGGGGGAGATGAAGGCGATGGCGGCAGCAATGGGGCTATGAAGGAGGTGGCTGGAGTTTACAAGATGTTACCACCATTGTTCATGACAGCTCATGAAAAACTGGAATGCTGCCTCCGACTTGGATGGGCACTTTGCCAAAGTCTGGTTCTAACAACTTGATTCTCAATTGAGTTCGAGCGTACCACTATCTAAACTAAGCCATTTTGTGTATCATGTCTTTATTACCTGTGAAACTTCTGTAAGTGCGGGGTACATCTCCGTTTCTATTAAAAAGTTAGCACACAATGTGGTCAATTGAGATGTGATATGGATTGCGTAAGCATGTATCATTTTGTATTCATAATGTTGCCATTGTGTGGGTATGTATAGCCAAATTTGAATTCCCATCGTAGTGCAGCCAAAATTGTACCAGCTACGCTCGTGCCATGCTGCTCATGCCATGATGCCAATAAGAGAAAGTGGCCTCAACATGTTTCCGATATGGTCTTTTTATATTACCTACCTTGTGGCCTTTGTCCTCCAAGTGTTAATAGTATCTATGACAATTGAATCCTTGCCAATTTTTGCACCATAAAACTGTACATTTCAGGGTTATTGAGTTCGGATATTTGCCATATTGGTCATAAAATGACTACTTGAGGTCCATTTAGTAATGTTTTCGTTTTTTCATTTATTATAATTTTCTGTTAGAGATATATAAAGGAAATATATGGGAGAAAAGGAGTGATGAAGGAGGAAGGGTGATGGGAGGGAGGAAGAAAATGTGGATGGAATGGTACACAAAATGAAAACTAAAATTGAAAACCAATTAAGTTGTTTTCATTTTCTAGTTTTGGTTTAATTCATACTCATTTCTTTCTCCCTCATCCTCCACCATTCTCATCTCTCTTTTCCAACATGTATTTTATCTTTGATTCTCTTTAATTTTAAGTTGTTTTCGTTTTCTACTACTTGCATCCTCCTGGCAATTTCCGTGTGGTTTCTTGTTGGAAGAAACTGATGAAAGTCCAGAAGTCTTGCTAATATATGAAAAGGATCTCTGTATGTGGATTGTAAATTCGTGATAATGAGGAGCTCTTACTTTTATCCATTAGTCTCTTGAGTACGTTATCAAGCAGCTCTGGAAAATGAAGTGCATTTGCTAGTGATTTGTGAAAGGTACATATTTGAAGTTTTTGAGCTACAAGTGGCACTACAAAAAAAAAAAATGGCAACAGTCACCATTATTTGGTGACATTTGGTGACTAAAGCCTTTAGTCACCCCTGCATTATTCACCAAATAATGGTGACTGTTGCCATTATTTTTTTTGGGTAGTGTGTTAGCTAAACGCAAAAATCTTTTTATTTTTTATTTTTTATTTTTTATTTTATAGCTTCCTCCGTATAAAAGCAATATTGAAGAAGGAAGAATAAAAAGGGGCACTTAAAAATTTACAAGTATTTTTAGGTTGAGAGACAAAACTATATCGGCCAGCTTTCCGAGGCCGTACATATCATGCGATATCAAATCCCAATTGTTGGCCGTATATAAATGAAGAAATAATTCATCAAACTATGCCAAATTTGCTAATTGGATTGATTGATCGGTACAGCCAGATTTGTATGGCTTACTTGTGATATAAGAAACCCACCAATCAACCTCGTTGACAATTCAGGCAGACATTAATATATATATATATATAATATTTCCTTTTATAACAAAAAATAATTGAATGAGAGTATCAGAAGCTGGTGTGTATTTCTCGAAAACAAGGAACAAGTGCAAGTACCATGCAATTTCCACCGTTATTTTTGTCATTGACAATATCAAGCATATTTGTATAACATGTACGTAAGGGCCAAACAATCGTGTTTCGTGGCGGACACTATGCCACTCTCAGTGTGTGTGTATATATATACATACATGTAAAATGGTCTTCAATATATCAAAAAACAAGTAACAAACAAGAAGCAAGCATGTATAGAGTAGCAAGCCCTTCAGAATATCTGGTGATTACCGGGGCCGGGATCGACGACATAAAGCTTGCAAAGAAGGGATGGATCCTCCCCGGACAATCTTACATCATCTTTGACATGTCCCCCGTCAACTATACCTTCGAAGTCCAAGCCATGAGCATTGAGAAGCTCCCCTTCATTCTCCCCGCCGTCTTCACTATCGGCCCCCGCATCGACGACATGCCCAGTCTCCACAAGTACGCCAAGCTCATTTCTCTCCACGACAAGCTCTCCAGCCACGTGAAGGAGCTCGTCCAGGGCATCATCGAGGGAGAGACGCGTGTCCTCTCTGCCTCGATGACCATGGAGGAGGTGTTTAGGGGGACCAAAGAGTTTAAGCAAGAGGTGTTTGAGAAGGTTCAGTTGGAATTGAATCAGTTCGGGCTTTTGATATATAACGCAAACGTCAAACAGTTGGTGGATGTTCCTGGACATGAGTATTTTAGTTACTTGGGGCAGAAGACACAGATGGAGGCGGCCAATCAGGCTAAAGTTGATGTGGCGGAGGCGAGGAAGAAAGGAAAGATAGGGTCCAAGGAGAGGGAGGGGTTGACGCTGCAGAATGCTGCGAAGATTGATGCAGAAACAAAAATATATGCCACGAAGAGGGCCGCGGAGGGGATGATGGTGGAGATAAAGGTGAAAGCAGAGGTGAAGGTGTATGAGAATGTGAGGGAGGCTGAGGTGGCCGAGGCGAATGCTGAGCTGGCAAAGAAGAAGGCCGGGTGGGGGAAGGAGGCGCATGTGGCGGAGGTGGAGGCCGTGAAGGCGGTGGCGTTGAGGGATGCAGAGCTGCAGACGGAGGTGGAGAGGATGAATGCCTTGACTAGGACGGAGAAGCTTAAGGCTGAGTTTTTGAGTAAGGCCAGCGTTGAGTATGAGACAAAGGTATGTACTTGACTATAACGTGGGTAGCTTGTTCTTTTTGTGTTTTGTTTTGTTTGGAAAAAATGATGTTACTCATGATGTGTTTATTAAGAGTAATGCTACACTGACCATATTTTTATCTCATATTTCTATACCACACGATGTGGCATGTTCATATCATATGCCACATCAATTAAATGAATGAAGTGTATTTGAATAAATAAAATTAGAAAAATATAAACTAGTATTTTACATGATGTGGTATGTACACATCAGCTGCCACATTATTTGGTATAAAAAATATGGTAAAACTAGTATTATTCGTTTAGTATATTATGTGGTATTTGACCAATTAGCTCTTAGTTTGGAGAAATTTTTGTATGTTCGGAGTACACTACATGGTTGGTGTACCATCTACACATACGACATGTAGATATGTGGACATGTTTTATTTTTATGTCCTATATGTATGTTATACAATATTTCCACATGTTCCATGCGTATTGGATGGTACACCATCCATGTGGTGTACTGGGAACATACAATAATTACTCGTTAATTTGTACTTTTCTTTCCAAAGTGCTAGTGGATTCTATATTTAAATATATGATCATTTTCTTATTGATAAAAGAAAACTTTCATCAGTGTGAATCACTATACTAACCACAATATTGTATAGCACCATGATTATAATCTTTGTATATTCTTTAGTATATAATATTGAATATTTTAGTATGTAAATATAAAATCTTTGTTCTCTCAATCTAGGTATACTTAAGTTTTCACTATAAAAAATATGATCAATATATATGATGCTTTGGTATATATTATAAGTTAGAAAACAAGAGCTTTATATTTTGTTTAGGAGGTTCCCAAAACATGAAATTTTAGATGACTTGCTTTCTAGCTCGTTTTTGTGTAAAGGTTACGGATAATTTTTTATCAAGGCAATGCATGATATCAATGCTTTATCTAACACCAGTGTTCATAAACAAAGGTACAAGAAGCAAATTGGGAGTTATACAACAAACAAAAGGCCGCCGAAGCAATTCTTTACCTAAGGGAGAAAGAGGCTGACGCACAGAAGGCAATTGCAGAGGCAGAATTGTATGCTTGTCAACAAGTTGCAGATGGAGAATTTTATGCCAAGAAAAAAGAGGCTGAGGGCCTCATGGCCCTTGGACAAGCCCAAGGTGCCTATCTACGCAATCTTTGGGACGCAGTTGGAGGCAACTATGCAGCCATGAGGGATTTCATGATGATCAACGGTAGCATATTTCAAGAAATTGCTAAGATTAACGCCGATGCCATGTGTGGACTTCAACCCCAAATCAGCATTTGGACTAATGGAGGCAGAGAGGGCTGCAGAAATGGGCCCATGAAGGAGGTTGCTGGAGTTTACAAGATGTTGCCACCATTGTTGAAGACAGTTCATGAACAAACTGGAATGCTGCCACCGGCTTGGATGGGCACTTTGCCAAATTCTGGTTCTGACAACTAGTACTCTCAATTGAGTTCGAGAGTGTCGCTATCTAAACTAGCCATTTTGTGTATCATGTCTTTAAGTACATGTGAGACTAACATAGGGGTGTGAACAATGTCTTTCTATTAAAGAGATGACACACAATGTGGTCAGTTGAGATGGTACAGTGGATTGTTAGAGTATTGTATTATTATAATTAATGTTGCCTTTGTATGGGTATATGTATAGCCAAATTTAAATTGCCATTGTAGTGCAGCCAAAACTGTACCAGACCAGCTATGCTGGTGTCATGCTGCTCTTCACATTTGAGGATTTGGTTGGCATAATATGGAATCTAATTGGAGTCATGTCAATAAGAGACAGCAGTGACCTCAACATGTTGAACTCTCACTCCCATTCTCACTCTCATTTTCATCTATACTCTAGCACAAAAAATATGAAAACTAAAAACTAAAACTAAAATTGAAATGGTTATCAAATGGGCCCTAAACATATGTTCTAGCTTTTGTTTCATTCATACTCCTTTTCTCCCCCATCTCTCTTTTCTTCCGTGCATTTTCTCTCTAATTCTAAAAGAAAAAAACAAGCTACTTCAAAAGACGAAAAATGTTGGCAAACCTTTATACCTCCTGCTGGCACTTTCCGTCTTCTTGGAAGAAAATGATGTGAATGTCAACAAGTCTTGCTAGCTAATAAGAAAAGGATTGAGTGCAAGCAATCTGTCCTTGTAAACTTCATGTCTATATTTTTCTTGAAAATATTTGCAACTAGTTTGAGTTGGGAGACAAAACTGTTGGCCAGCTTTCCTAGGCCGTGTATATATATATATATGAAATATTTCATCGGAAACAATGCCAAATTTGCTAATTGCGATTGATCGAAAGAGTCCGATTTGCAGTCTCAGATTTGTCTGGACACCCAAATTAATGTACATAATTAACAAGTCGTATGATACTCAAAAGCATTTCAAGCCGACAAAGAAAGTAAAAAACTACAATATCGCCTTTGATAGCGGATAACAAGGAACAAGGGAAAGCAACACGCACCATGCAATTTCCATCGAAGAGCAATCCAATTTTCTCATTGACAATATCAAGAGATTTGTGAAACATGTACGAAAGGGCCAAACAGAAAGCTTGTTCCAAACAATTATGTTGCGTGGAGGACACGCCACTAAGTATATATAGTTATAAACTGGTTTTCAATATCAGAAAACAATTAGGGGGAACAAAAAGAAAGCAAGCAAGCATGTATAAAGTAGCAAGCCCATCAGAATATCTGGTGATCACCGGCGTTGGGATTGAGGACATAAGGCTTGCAAAGAAGGGATGGATCCTCCCCGGACAATCCTACATCATCTTCGACATGTCCCCCGTCAACTACACCTTCGAAGTCCAAGCCATGAGCTCCGAGAAGCTCCCCTTCATGCTCCCCGCCGTCTTCACTATCGGCCCCCGCATCGACGACATGCCCAGCCTCCACAAGTACGCCAAGCTCATCTCTCGCCACGACAAGCTCTCTACCCACGTCAAAGAGCTTGTCCAGGGTATCATCGAGGGGGAGACGCGTGTCCTCGCTGCCTCGATGACCATGGAGGAGGTGTTTAAGGGGACCAAAGAGTTTAAGCAAGAGGTGTTTGGGAAGGTTCAGTTGGAACTCAATCAATTTGGGCTTTTGATATATAACGCAAATGTCAAACAGTTGGTGGATGTACCGGGGCATGAGTATTTTAGTTACTTGGGGCAGAAGACACAGATGGAGGCGGCCAACCAGGCTAAAGTTGACGTGGCGGAGGCGAGGAAGAAGGGGGAGATAGGGTCTAAGGAGAGGGAGGGGTTAACGCTGCAGAATGCCTCCAAGATTGATGCAGAAACCAAAATATATGCCACGAGGAGGGGAGGGGAGGGGAGGATGGCGGAGATAAAGGTGAAAGCGGAGGTGAAGGTGTATGAGAACGTGAGGGAGGCTGAGGTGGCGGAGGCAAATGCTGAGCTGGCGAAGAAGAAGGCCAGGTGGGCGAAGGAGGCGCAGGTGGCGGAGGTGGAGGCCGTGAAGGCGGTGGCGTTGAGGGATGCGGAGCTGCAGAAGGAGGTGGAGAGGATGAATGCCTTGACTATCACGGAGAAGCTTAAAGCTGAGTTCTTGAGTAAGGCCAGTGTTGAGTATGAAACAAAGGTATAATTTGTTTTGTTTATTTTATTTTATGGAAAAAGTATTGAATAATTATAATAAAAATAAATTAAGTTGGTAAATTAATATTGTGCATTATATCATCTAACATGATCAGTGTTAATAAACAAAGGTACAAGAGGCAAATTGGGAGTTATACATCAAACAAAAAGCCGCGGAAGCTATTCTTTACCAAAGGGAGAAGGAGGCCGAGGCACAGAAGGCAATTGCTGAGGCAGAATTATATGCTCGTCAACAAGTTGCGGATGGAGAATTTTATGCAAAGAAAAAAGAGGCTGAGGGTCTGATGGCCCTTGGACAAGCCCAAGGTGCATATCTACGCACTCTTTTGGACGCCGTTGGCGGCAACTATGCAGCCATGAGGGACTTCATGATGATCAAAAGCGGCATGTTTCAAGAAATTGCTAAGATCAATGCTGAGGCCGTGCGTGGACTTCAACCCAAAATCAGCATTTGGACAAATGGAGGCGGAGAGGGCGGGGATGGCGGCCATGGGGCTATGAAGGAGGTGGCTGAGGTTTACAAGATGTTGCCACCATTGTTCAAGACAGTTCATGAACAAACTGGAATGCTGCCACCGGCTTGGATGGGAACTTTGTCCGATTCTCATTCTACCAGCTCGGCTCTTAATTGAGTTCGAGATAATTCTAGACACCAAACGTGGCCTTGCTTAAAACTTTGTTCTATGTACTTAATTCTACTTTGACATGTATGTGTTTAGGGGCAAAACTGTTAGCCATAGTGGAAGCCTTTGGGAAGAATTGGGAAACAAAACTGTTGTTGGCTGTCTAATGAAAAATTTATAAGACCAAATCCCAAATTATAAGAAATTTATAAGAAACAAAACATGCCTGTGTTGGCCATGCATAATAAATTTATAAGACCAAATCCCAATTGTTGGCTGTATGCAAATGCTCGCAAACATATATGGCCATGTCCTGTACAATGATACATAATATAGGAATGAACAAATCAAATGTCGTTGACAATTTCAAGCCGATAACACAAAGGGGAAATAATCCCTTGAATTACTGAATCCAAAAACTCGCTACTAGAAAACCTCATTATAGGACACTAGTACTGATACACTCGTGGCCTATATTCTTGTTAATCATAGACAACCCGTAGTTACGAGTTGGACACAAACCAAGTGATCTACTGCGATAGAAGCGGGTGTTGCTAGGTTAGGGCTTTTTTTGTATATATTTAATTTAATGTACTCTCTAGTTGGTTGTAGGGCCTTGGGCTTAGAACACTATTTTGACATCTATAAATGAGTTTGAGACTTAGAAGGATGAAATCCCAATTTGTCATGTTTATTAATCCGTAATTGGAATCAAAATACGGAGTTGAATTCCTATTACAAATAACTCATGTGTTTACTTCATATGAAGGAATCAAAATGCGAGTGGAACCCATACAAAATCATGAATTCAATTCCTAATTTTGGAATAATTGGATTGTGGGTGGGAGGTAGTATTCTAATTCATAGACAACTAACCCATTAGAAATTCATCTTTTTTTATCCATTGTATTCTCACACAATTTTTAAAATTTCAAATTTCCCATATACTTTAACCTAACAATGATGACATTTTAGTTATCAATTTGGTTTCAATCCCAATTCATGTGAATTTAGTAAACAACTTATAAGGAATTAATACTACTCCTACTCTAATTCCATATGGTTTAATAAATAACTTCAATAGGAATCTGGAATGTAACTCTCCTCAATCCAATTTAATTCCTTCTAATTTGATTACGGATTAGTAAACATGTCAAAATGAATTTACTCGCATAATCAGAATTAATGTGCCAAAATTTGCTAATTCGATTTATTTCTATAACCAGGTTTTGCAATCCCGTTCTCCTGGTCCACGAGGACCAAGGAGTTTCTTGGTAATCCAACGGTGGATAAGAGTCTAAACAATAAATGGTTTTGAAAGTCAATATTTTTGGGGAAATAATTTTTAAAGCAATTTTTCAAAAAGAAAACTAAAAGACTTTAGCATCAAAAGTAGTACGCCTCCCAAGTTGAAAGAAATTTTCTCCATCAATTCTCTTATCGAAGGGTTTAGAGTCTTTCGTTTCTCTTCTTCAACCGTAACAATTTTTCTCCATTTACAACCCTTTGAAAAGTAGGACATTTATTTGTCTAATATGTATTTTGGCATCCTTATTTCCTGTTTGAAAATTGCTTTAAAGATTTTTTACCGAAAAATATTGACATTAAAGCTATAAACTCCTATCCACCGTTGGATTTAATCCAATGACAGTTGCCCAAGAAACTCCTTGGTCCCCCTGGACAAGGAGAACGGTACTGCTAGGAATCCATAAATCAAACACATTGTTGACAATTTCAAGCCGTAAAAATTGGAGGAGTAAAAGAAGTTGGATGTGACAGGAACACCTTGTAATATGTCGACGTGGTATTACAAGTCTCCCATTATTAATGTCCAAATTCTTATCCTAAACTAATTGAACCTTAATTGTAGCCCTAGTACAAATTAAACTCTGATTGTCCAAGATCTCAATCACTGGTATATATATACGAGTATTCTTTTTTCATCTCTCTCGTAGCTTTTTTGTGTGTTCAACATCTCTCATATCAAAACCCTAATATCTACTGCTGTCTACAAACAAGAGAAACACAGAAGAACCAACCATGTGGTACAGAGTTGCGAAAGCTTCAGAGTATCTAGTGATCACCGGGGCAGGGATCGACGACATAAAGCTTGCAAAGAAGGCATGGATCCTCCCCGGACAATCCCACACCGTCTTCGACTTGTCCCCAGTCAACTACACCTTCGAAGTCCAAGCCATGAGCTCTGAGAAGCTCCCCTTCGTCCTCCCCGCTGTCTTCACCATCGGCCCCCGCGAGGACGACATGCCCAGCCTCCATAAATACGCCAAGCTCCTTTGCAGCCACGACATGGCCTCCAACCACGTCCAAGAACTCGTCCAGGGCATCATCGAGGGAGAGACGCGGGTCCTCGCTGCCTCAATGACGATGGAGGACGTGTTCAAGGGGACCAAAGAGTTTAAGCAAGAGGTGTTTGATAAGGTTCAGTTGGAGCTGAACCAATTCGGGCTTCTGATATACAATGCGAATGTGAAACAGTTGGTGGACGTCCCGGGGCATGAGTATTTTAGTTACTTGGGCCAGAAGATACAGATGGAGGCAGCGAACAAGGCTAGGGTTGACGTGGCGGAGGCGAAGAAGAAAGGGGAGATAGGGTCCAAAGAGAGGGAGGGGATGACCCTGCAGAACGCGGCGAAGATTAATGCGGAGACTAAGATCTATGCGACACAGAGGGAAGGAGAGGGGAAGAAGGAGGAGATAAAGGTGAAGTCGGAGGTGAAGGTGTATGAGAACATGAGGGAGGCTGAGGTGGCGGAGGCGAATGCTGAGCTGGCTAAGAAGAAGGCAGTGTGGACTAAGGAGGCGAAGGTGGCGGAGGTGGAGGCAGCGAAGGCTGTGGCGTTGAGGGATGCGGAGCTACAACAGGAGGTGGAGAAGATGCATGCCTTGTCTAAGACAGAGAAGCTTAAGGCTGATCTCTTGAGTGAGGCCACTGTTGAGTATGAAACCAAGGTACGTCTTGTACTTGTCCTTTTTCTTTCCTTTCTTTTGAAAATATAAAATTGAATGCAAATATAAAAATTGAGTTGGTTGGTGATCTGTATGAAACAAAATTAGTGTTACATTGATCATAGAAAAATATATTATGTGACAGTTGATGTATCTACTTAATATCGAGTGAATCACAATCACTATTAACCCTAATAATTTATGTTGTGAGTACGAACATGATCAATCGATGATGAGTAAATGTGGTTGATATTGTAGAATTAGTTCATGTTATTAATCTGTATGCTTGTGTTGGATTGCAATATTCATTGACTTATAATCAATACATGCAAGTACGAAACAAAAGTCTGAATCTAATGCTGCTGGATAATTATGTATTAATTAGTATAATGCTTGCTTTTTCTAACATATATTTATATATTTATGAACAAAGAAACTAGAGGCAGATGGAGCGTTGTTCCAAAAACAAAAGGCAGCAGAGGCAGAGCTTTTTACCAAGAAGCTAGAGGCTGAAGCACGACTCTATGCCAAGAAACTAGAGGCTGAGGCACAAAAGGCAATTGCAGAGACCCAACTTTATGCCAAGAAACAAGAGGCCGAGGCACAGAAGGCAATCGCAGAGGCACAACTTTATGCCAAGAAACTCGAGGCTGAGGGGCTCATGGCTCTTGGGCAGGCTGAGGGTGCATATCTTCGCAGTCTTCTGGAAGCAGTTGGAGGCAACTACAATGCCACCAGGGACTTCATGATGCTCAAGAATGGGACGTTTCAAGAAATCGCTAAGATTAATGCCGAGGCTGTTAGGGAACTTAAACCCAATATTAGCATTTGGAATAATGGCGGCGGAGACAGCGGTGCCAATGGGGCCTTCAAGGAGGTTGCTGGAGTTTACAAGATGTTGCCACCATTGTTGAAGACAGTTCATGAACAAACTGGCATGTTGCCTCCGTCTTGGATGGGCACTTTGTCCAATTCTCCTTCTACCAACTCGACTCTCGATAGCAACTAAATTCTCGATTCATCTAAATTCTACCTTTTTGTTTCTCGATTCATCTAAATTCTCCGTTTTTGTTTCTGTTATAAAGAGATAATACACAATATGGTCACCGGTATAACTAGTTAACCTTTTCTATTCTGTGTAGTTTGGTCCATGGTGTGTGGAACCTTTTTTGACTTTTAGTACACGAGATTGCATGATGCAATGGATTTACGAAAGAAATTAGACTTGGGAAAGAAATATTCATGACCTAGACTAGAGAACCCATAACTAACAATAATATTAACATGGGGCATGGCTGCCTGGTGAGGGGAAAAGAGAACAAAAGCAGCCAACAGGGATTTTGCATTTACGCCTTACTTCCATCATAAACAACTGCAGGTCATTCTTTGAATTGATAGTCTTTCCAGTAACATTTACAACAAACAAAAGGTATTAATTACATGCATCCGCCTCAATTCAAGTAGCGCCTGCAATTCTTTGAATTGCAAAAACATGGAATCTTCTTACCTTCATCCTCATGGTTAAAATGGTAGTCATATGTTATCTCTTCTCCTGGAAATATGTCCCGCTCTGCAAAAAATACCACCTGCAGCGAATTGGTAAAATCAGTAAATACTCCCAAAGAACGTTAATTCTGTACATCGCAAAATTGAGAAACCACTTCTACTAGGTGAATTCAAGTGGACAGGAATAGCCAATTTTCAAAAGGGAAGAAAAAGTCAGTATCATAATAGAATTTCCAATTACCTTCTTCTCATTCCTCACAGATATCACTTTGGCAACGCAGTTTGGCTGGTCCCAGGTACACCAACAACAAAGTAAGAAAACTGAGTGAAGTAAATAAAGCTAAGAAATTGCTCTAATCTTTCATAAATTCAGGAAAGCCAAATGCAGTCAGTAACATCGAAAAATAATAAATACACCTCTAAATTCTTTGTTGTGCTTTCCATGCTCAGACAAAATTGCTTCCTAAATTTTCTAGTTGCAATGAACTGTAAGATTATCCAAACCCAAATGCATAAGCAGAGCCCAACAAACATCCTTCATTCTTGAACATGAAAATTTTGAAAAAAATAAAAATAGATTGGCTCAGGGCTTAACAAGAAGCTGAGACCCAAGAAAACCAGCAACAACTGGTTCACAACTCAAACTTAAGAAGTGAGAATTACCACGCATGAATGGTTGACAAAACGAGCAATCCCTCCTTTGCATGTAGCATCAATAATATGCTCTTTATCTATCCTGAAGAAGTAGCAAGCGCTCTTGTACTGAAGCTTTTTCCCAGATTGGTATTCATTTTCCCTTTTATCGGCAACACGTAGCCCCACAATCTCTCCAACATACTCAACAACCTACAGAACCGAAGCACAAGGATACATCATATTTGGAATTATAGGAAGAATGTATGTGCCTCAATCTTTAAAGATGAGAACATCAAACCATTTCACTGCGGGAAATGAACCGAGACGTGTAAAGGCCAAGGGCATGTATGCCAGACTTGTACACTACAAGATGCTTCCAAAACTTTGCCTGCTTATAGCGTGCATATTCTTTCTGCAAGTGACAGTAACACTATGTGGTTAAGTAGTCTTAACCAGGTAAAATAAAAGATCATAGATGCAACACAATCAGCTGAAGCGTTTTATCTCACCATTAGACTGAACAACCAAAAACTGGGTATCTCATTTAATTGAAAACTTTAGCATTAATATGTTGCATGGATCATATTAGTCAAATCACATAAATGTTAAGTTAGAATAAATAATTAAAAACTGAGACACCCTGTTTTCTATGTCTAACACTACCATCAAGAAATGAAACATAGTCTACATTTGCAAAAAGTGTTAGCCATAGAGTTTTTTAATACATCGCTCTTTATACAAAACAAGATGAATAACCAAAAACAATCATGAGGTAAAGCAGCCTCATCCCTCATGAACATACCCGACAATCATGCTCTATATCTGATACTGGCAGTTTTGGAAGCCCCTGAGTGGATGATTTCTGCCCATTAATATGAACCCAAGCATTTAACTGCTCCTGAGGAACAAGGCATCCACCATTGCCCTTTGACTGATCACAATAATTATGCCTGAACCCATCACGTTTACGGCCCTTGTAACCCTACTCACAACAAAACAGCAAAAAACAAAGAACCAATTTAGAAAAAGCACAATATGAAAGCCTTTACTGCAGGTAACCCAGTGACACCCTCGCACATACAATACCGACAAAGAAAAATAACAGAACAAAAAAGCCTCAAAGAAAGGTCAAATACCTCAGTTCTAGCGCATGTTAATTCTTCTTCCTCAATGCAACCAGCTTCAGTGTTAACAGGATCATGATCTGATTCACACATTGGGTGTGTAGCATGAAGCACACATATTCCATAAAAACCAATATTTTCATTGTCAACACCTTCAACTTCACTTTGCAACAGACCCTGAATGGGGCATGCACAAAAAACCAATGACAACAAACACAATGAATAATGTTAATATTGACCAGTCAATGCTTCAATGTCTAAACTATTAAAATAAATTGCCTTTTAAAAGTACACACTAATAGCCTATTTTAAAGAAAATGTTAGATGCTTAAGCATGACAGGTTGACACTTGCATAAACTTGACAATGCCAATTCAAGAATAGCAGCATTATGTTGGATTGACTCTATATCAACCAAGCAAAGTTTTTTTCATCTTCATATTCTCAATTTCTCATTCAGAACATAAGCAAAGATCATGAATGTTGTGTGAGTGTAAGGATCAACAATTAGGAAGCGTCAAGACCTTCTGATGAGCACACCAAGGGTGAAATTGAGCAGAACAATTTGCAACTCTGCACTGTATACATGAACCGCCTGCCCGCTTACATATACAGCAAACCTGAATGAAAAAATAAATGAAAATGAGAACTAATGCCAAACCACACATGACAAAATCCCAGGGGAGGGGGTTGACATAAACATAAATAATTGGTAATTAATACTAGGAATGTCTTCTTACTATATTGTGTTTATTTTTGTATAAAATGGTATGTTTGGTAAAGGTTAATTAATTTCAAAGGGTTGCAATAGGTTGCAATAGGTTGCAATAGGTTGTCATGTTATGACTTCTTTTCTCCCAGGGAGTGACTCCCTAAACCAAATTGTGATTTACAAGTTTTGACATGCCCAATCCTGATGGTCTGTCTAATTTTTCTTGATTTCTAGTCAGACTGAAAAAAGCACTCTAATGTGCCAAACTCCAGTTCCATTTGTTACATATCCAGAACCCAAGTCTTCCAAAGCAAAGAAATCTTCATTGATACATCTATTTTTGCCTCAATTATTGATTTTAATGCTTACCACATCTGCTCTAGGATGTGCACCAGAGACATCAAAAGCACTCATAGTGTCAACATTTGGGCATCGTGTTCCAGGAGTCCAAAGCCCACAAACCATATGAACCCACTGCTTAGTTGCCGAATCAAGTAATCCCACTGTAATGCTGTTATGCATGACATCAAATTTGTAGGACATACCCATCTTACAGACAGCTGAGACCAAGGGCTGATCGTTTTCACGTTGGAGCACAAAGAAGGAAGAATTATCCTGATGTCCATAGCCAGAGCAATTCAACCCACTTGAGTCTTTTTGCAAAGTTTTAACAGAAGAAAGCTTGTTCTTGGCCATGCATTCTGTTTCAGCATTCCAAGCTCTCAGAAGGCTTTTCACAACTGTGCGACTTCGGAGTGCTTGAGTCATGGCACCACCACCATAACCACATAGAACGCAAACCTTGATGAAGAAACAAACACATTACAAAACCACAAGTTAAAAAGGTTAAGAGGAAAGAAAATCCATCTTCCACTCTCTCCCGTGTCTCACAAATTTTTGGGTTGAAAGCAAAAGTTTCTAGCAGTAAGATGGGCAGATAAGATTTTAGTCCAACTCAACCATGAATTGTCCAGATCACCTATTAGAATTATCTTTTGATTTCCAATTCAATTAGCCTTAACAACACATGCAATAACTAAATTCCTACTGAAAAAAGTTCACATTTGAATCACTGGCAACAATAATTTGAACAAGAAACAAAAAGAAAAAATGCAAAAATAGAAGACAAGAGTCTTATAAGAGTAGTCTCAATAAAATAAGCAACTTACCACTGGCTATAGTGTGGGTAAGAAACCAAACATATAAGAAGTTTTTTCTAAATGAAAGTTATACTAAAATAATAGCCTTCCTCTTACAATATCTTTCGAACTGGTCCGGCATGGCCTGCAACACCAATGGCCTTTAGGTAGTTTTGAGACACCGTAACAAGCCTGATGCACCTGTTCATCATGAAACTTCTGAATATCACCAAATGATTGCATAAGAAATAGGATGAAATTCAAGTTGAATATGCTCTGGGGAGCCACATACTTTGATAGAACATTGACTACACGTCAGTAAATTATTGATTTCATCTTTGTTTGAACTACCACAAACACAGCAGAATGCATCTGAATCCAAATCAGAATGGCATCGGTGCTCTAGAGTAGAACTGTAACAGAATTTATCAAAACCAATCATCAGTATTTATAATTTACATTCTTAATCACCATTTATATAAGGTGCCAAGAAAAGGAAAGATTGTTATTTATACTGCCTTCCAAGAAAGAAATAAGACAACTTTTGAAGCAAAATAATTAGAGGATCAATTTTTTTGCTCACCTTTTAGAACTAAGTTTGCACAATCCAAGCTTACTATCTTCAGCAGTCTTTAGAAGTTTCCCTTCTTTCTTTGCTGGCAGACAATTTGAAAATTTTGAAAGGGAAGAACTTTCAAAGCTGGGATCCTTCCCTGATGAACAAGTATCATTTATGTAAAACAATTAGAGCCAAGGACAAAGAGCCATAAAAAAAATAGAACAGAATATGAAAAGGTTGATAAGCATGTCTATTAAGTATGGAACAATTAACAAATAAGTATTATCACACAGCAAAATAGGCATCAATTGTTCTTCCAAAATTGTAAATTACT